TGGCTGGCTGGCTGACTGAGTGGGTGGCCCCGACCTCCTCCTTTCCTTGTTTTATTACTTCTTCCAGATTTCTCCTACTTATTCTCTCTTCCTGCCGGCCCTACCTACCCTTGCCTATGCCTTGCTATTGGCTGTTCAGCTCTTTATTAGACCATCAGGTGTTTAACACAGGCAAAGAATCACAGCCTCAGAGTTAAACAAATGCAGCATAAAACAAAAGCAACACGTCTTTACATCGTTAAACAAGTGTTCTACAGCATAAACAAAAGCAGCACACTTTAAAATGATATCCTACAACATTCCTTTCAACTATCTTGGAGCAGTCATGTCCTCACTTTACACATCTGGTGCCAAAAAAACATAGATTTTTCTTTTTGAAAACCTGGATTTCTTATATGAGAGAAAACATGTCACGTTCATCGTTCTGAGTTTGGCTTATTAAAATAACATGATGATCTCATCTCCACTTCCATCTCCTTGCAGATGACATTTCATTCCCTGCTGAATAAAATTCTACAGGGCATGCAGACCAGATTTCCCTTCTCCATTCACCTGTAACGGGTATCTATAATGACTCCACTTCTTGGTCCTTGTGAACAACGCTGTAACAGACAGGGATTCGTAAGTATCCTTGTGGTATGCTGTTTGCTTGTTTGTTTTGTTTTGTTTTCTGTCAGCACAAAGGCTGAGCTTTAATCTGCTGCTGTTTTAGCCAGCAAATGCGGCTCCAAAATTACTGGCCTGCTTCTCTGGTAGCAGCCCACCCACCCACTGGAACTCTGTTCGTGCAGGCACTGGCTATGTCACTGCTGTCAATTATAGCTTTTAATTAAAACTCTACTTATTAGGAAGACTTGAAGACTCAGGAGCCAAAAAGGCTGGGATGGGAACCTGTTAGATCAGAGAAGTTGAGTAGCAACTAGCTGACCTCCTCTCTTTGTCCGAGTTTCCAAAAAAGCATGACCTTCTGATGGCAGATGTCTTATTGGTTAATGAATAAAGCACTGTTGACAAATAGGAAGGCAAAATAGGCTGGACTAGAAGACAAGGAGGATTCTGGGAGATGTAGGAGAGGATTCAAGATGTAGGACATGAGAGAAGAGGTCCAGACCCTCTCTCTGGTAAGATAAGACCACATGGAAACATTTAGATCGATAGAGCTAGCCAATAAGAAACACTAGTAACAGGCCAACAGCTTTATATCTAATACAGCATCTCTGTGTGTTATTTGGGGCTGACGAGGATGTGGGACCAGGCCAGGGAAAACTGCTAGCTCAGTAGGTGGAGCATGAGACTCTTAATCCCAGGGTTGTGCCTTTGAGCCCCACATTGGGCGCCATTTTGTTACGAGCAATTTTCCCACCAGCCCCCCTGCTGGAACCTCTACCACACTCTGGCATGCTTGAGTCTGTGGGGGGAAATGGGGTTAGTACATTTCTTTAGAATTTTCTTACTATTTAAGTTTTAGGGTGGGTGGTTTTTGACTAGGTTAGCAAAGTTTCCTGTGGAAAAAGTTCTCAAGTGTTCCAGGCTGGCCTTAAGCACTTGATTCTACTGATTTCCTCTTCTAAATGCTGGGATTGCTCATGAATTCCACCAGACCTGGCTTAACATTTCACTTTAAAAAGAAAAAATTAAGTTAGCAAATAAAGTAATGGGTTTCATTATGTCATTTTCATACATACAGTAAATTTAAGAGTTTAAAGAATATTGTAAAGGCAATACTTACTGGGCTATTTTTAAGTTTTATTTTTATTTATTTTGTGTGTACACGTGGCCAGAGGACTACTTCTGGAAGTCAGTTCTGTTCTCTACCCCTACTACCTGCAACCTAGGGATTGGACAGGTTGTCAAGAGTCAGGTTGGTGACAAGTGTCCTTGTCCACACAGCTCTTTCCAGTGCTAGGGTTTTTTGACTTTTTAAATAAACAGTCTAAATAGCAAATTATAGTTCTGCATTCTTCCTGATATAATTTAACTTCATTTCCTAATATAGTAGCTACATTTTCTAGATGCAAAAGAAAACAGAAGCAATAGATTTGTGCTGTGGGAATAAGAGAGCTTATGTTAGCTGATGGGGATACCCTTCTGTATGCTGTGAATGTTTTCCTTATTGGTTGATGAATAAAGCTGTTTTGGCCAATGGACAGACAGGATATAGCCAGGCAGTAAGTATAGGCATGGCTACTAGACTAGGAGAATTCTGGGAAGAGGAACACAAGAGTCACCGAGACAGTCACTATGTAGCTACCAGGAAGGTAGGACACTGGGCATTCTCTGGCAAGACTACATGGAGATTACATAGATTAATAGAGATGGGTTAATAATTAAGAGAGAGCTAGCCAATAAGAAGCCAAGCAGTTTATAATTAATATTGGCCTGTATGTTTATTTGGGACTTAAAGGCTGTGGGACTGGGCAGGACAGAAACTTCTGTCCACAGCTGTTAATTTGAGACTTTCTTGTATTTTGGAACCGCACAGAACCATTCGAACATACTTAGCTTAGCATTTCTGATCCTTTAAGAATCGTTTGAGTAATAATTTGATTGTGGCACAAATTTGAATCTTAGATTTGGGGAAGCCAGTGAGGAAAATAAGTGCCTGATTTGTGGCTCACTGGTAACCTAAGGGGTATGATGTTGTGAAAAATGGTGTTAGGGCAAGCCAGACAGCTACCCAAATGCTACATTCATGAATGTATGGGCATACTGTCAATAAATATTATTATATTATACTGAGTGCACACACACACACACACACACAGGTGCATTCAGCAGCTGCAGGGACAGTTCTGATTTTATATATTGTATGTGTGTGCAAATATAGGATGGCCTCACTACAGCTCAGGCTGCTCTGTAACTTGCTAAGTAGCCCAGGCTGACCTTCCTATTTTAGTCATCTACCATCTTGAGTTTACAGGCACAAACAACATCCACACTTGACTTTGTATTTGATCAACAAAATGCCCTCTGTGAGGTGGTGAATGGCTTGTCACCAAGCCTGACAATTGGAATTCAATCCCCAGGACCCAAAGGGGAAAGAACCAACTCTTGAAAGTTGTCCTATAACCTCTAAACTCACTCTCTCACACACACTCACCCATCAATACAACTAATGCAGTACAAAGTTTAAAAATAGCTTTCAAGGGTTAATTCATTTTCATTATTTTAATAAAAATTGCTCCAAAAATTCTTCTCTCACAATTTGTATACTTCCATTGGTATTTTGTTTCTTTTTAAGCTCAACATAACCATTCTAATATTTTAAAACTATTCAGTAGTTAATCCCCATTCACCTAGATTTTTCCATCAAATTGATTTTAGTTCTCTATGTCCAGTCTTCTCAGAGAAAAATTGGCTAGTTTCTCCTCTGCAGTCCCAGAGTGATAAGTCAATCAGTCCAGGATCTGTGGATGTTGTCTATCCAGGGAGGCCGACCTTCCAGACCCCACCCTCCTGAGAACCCAGCAGACTCAGAAGGGCAGTCCCAGAGCAGTAGCCACTGAGCTGAAACAACTCTGCCTCCCTGCTCTTTCCTACTCCTGACTCAGCCTTGAGGATGTGGTTGGTGAAGTTTCCTGCTTCCAGTGGCAGCATGATCACTTCCTATATGGGCCTAGTGGCTATGGATGGGCAACTCTGACTTCAGGAATTGGTATTTGATTCATCCAGTACACTCTGATCACTCAGGGTAACAGCAAGTTTTGCTCAGTGCACAGGAGACAAAATGTATTGAATACTATCCAAACAATCAATGACTTAGGTCACTAGGGAACTACTTTAACAATTTTACATTTTTATTCCACGCATTAAAAAAAATATACTTAGTTGGGTGTAGTGGCTCAAGCCTGAGTTCGAGGCCAGCCTGGTCTACAAAGTTCCAGGACAGCCAGGGCTACAGAGAAACCCTGTCTCAAAACGTATCGAACATATACCAAAAGGAGCAGGAATGATGGCTCAGAAGTTAAAATACCTCAAGAAGATTGCTCTTACAAAGGACTGGGATAGGTTCCTGGAACCCAGATCAAGTGGCTTACAGCTACCTGAAATTCCAGTTCCAGATTTGAAAGCTCCAAGGGCAAGTGCACACATGATATGTATGAAGTCACAAAGGTACACATATATACAAGTAAAAATAAATCTTAAAACTATGTAGTTTCCCCTTAACATTTGCTAATGACGTCATCTCAATCAGTATTCAATCTTAAGGAAACACAAAACAGATCCTCCTTTTCTAGTCCTGTCTCCTGAAGGCAGATAGGTAAGAACACTCGGAGCAGGGTATGATGGTGCACACTTTTAGCTCCAGCACTCAGAAGGCAGAGGCTGGTTAAGCTCCATTCGAGGCCAGCCTGGGCCGCAGTGAATTCCATGCCAGTCAACGTAAACAGTAAGATCCTGTCTCAAAAAATAAAAGCCAAATCCCCACACAACAAATACTTCCTGAACATAGACCAAGGTGCAGCTCAGCAGAGCACATGGCAGCATGCTGGCTTCAATTCCCAACAAGAATGAAAACCAGCTGGGCGGCACTCGGGAGGCAGAGGCAAGCGGATCTCTGTGAGTTCAAGGCCAGCCTGATTTACAAGAGCTCCAGGATAGGCTCCAAAGCAATACAGAGAAACCTTGTCTGGAAAAACCAAAAGAATGAAAACCGAACACAACACTGCAGCTCAGCCAGGGCATCTTTCTAGTATAAAGTCTTCCAGGGAACTCTGAGCTCAGGAATATCCCAGGAACAAGAGGTGTAAATAAAGCCTATCGCACATGACCACCCAGTCAGACACTTTCAAAGTCAACTCCCAAGTCTGCTGTTTGGTCATTATGCCAAGTTAGTGGTTTGAATCTGGGCAACAAAAGGTGCAGTTTTTGTAAACAAAATGATTAAAGCTACAACATGAAGATGGTGAACACTTAACTAATCTGTATGTACTAAGGCTTAATATTTAAAATTAGAAATCAAGAAAGACAGGACACAATTATTTCCAAAAGCACTGTTTTAATTATACAGAGTCCTAACCAGTTTAGTGGCAGGAGGAGTGAGGGAGGTTCCATCTTCAACCCAGGGGCCTCTATGATGTTGGTTTGTTGTTACCAAACACACAGGCAAGTGGCATCATGGATCTGGTAAACTAATGACAATGTTCAGTCTCTCTCTGCTAGAGCAACAAGATGGGCGTCAATCTCTGCTTCTGAGAGAATTCTGGAAGGCAAAGGGTAAAAAAAAAAAAAAAAAAAAATCACAACTGCTTACTTCAAAAAGGTTTTTATTATGGAAAATTTCAAACATACAAAAGGCAGTACAAAAACCCCCATGTACGGATCCTCTAACTTCAGCAACTACCAATTTATAACCAATCTTTTAAAAGGTATGTGCCCAAGACTCTTCCCACAGATTATACTGCAGGAACTCTCCAGACCAGACAACACATCAATTTCATCTAGATTATGAAAGTATTCTTTGTATCAGGATCCAGAATTTAATTACAGCTAAGGTTAAAAACATTTCAAATTAACTAATATGAAGCTAAATTATACGAACTACATTCAATTTATTTTGGGTGTCAATGTCTTAAAAACATAACTCAAATTCACATTAACAGTGAATAAAGTGCTCTCTGCACAAGCAGAGAGCTCTGATCCCAGTAGGTGCAAGCGTGGAGACCTACCTGGAACCCCGGAGCTCAGAAGGAAGCTGGCTAGCTAGACTAGTTGAATCAGCAAGCATATGGGAGATCCTCCTCAATGTATAAGGTGGAAGAATACCTTTGACCTCTGCATATACACACAGATGCGCGCACACACATAATATATATGCCCTCCCAAATGCTGCTTGAACTCAGTAACTATCCATGAAATAAAATATGGTAGTTTGAATGTGATTGACCTCCATAATCTCATAGGGAATGACACTATTAAAATTAAGAGGTGTGCCTTTGTTGGAGTGGGTATGTCCTTGTTGGAAGAAGTAAGTCACTATGGGAGTGGATACTATCCAGTGTCTCAGTTGCCCGCAAGATGTAGGATCCTCCAGTAGTATCTCTCCAGTACCATGTTTTCATGCCACCATGGCCCCCACCATGATGATAATGGACTGAACCTCTGAACTATAGGCCAACCCCAATTAAATGGTTTCCTTATAAAACTTGTGGTCATGGTGTCTCTTCACAGCAATAAAAGCCCTAAGACATAAAGTTATAATGGTATTTAAAAATCTACTCACCAAGCCAGGTGGTGGTGGTATATACCTTGAGCCCCAGCACTTGGGACTCTGTGAGTTTGAGGCCAGCCTGGTCTATAGAATGAGTTCCAAAACAGCAAAGACTTTTCACAGAGAAACCTTGTCTCAAAAAAAAAAAAAAAAAAAAAAAAAAAAAAAAAACCCAAAACTCTAAAATACTAGTTACCAGAAGGTACTTACTTCATGTGAATATGTATTTTCTAAATGTTTGTCTTAAAGGAATCAGTTGCTTAGCAACACTGTTGACGTGACCTGTCACCACTGGGATTCTGTTTGCTGCTTTGTTTTGAGAAAAGGTCTCATAACTTAGGTAGGCTGGCCTGGAACTTACTATGTAGTCAACAATGACCTTAAACTTCTGATGCTCCTATCTCTGCCTCCCAATATCTGGAATTATAGTTTGTATGACCATACCCTACTTCACTACTAAACTTCTAAAAAAAGTAAATTTGTCACAATGATCTTTTTTTTTTTTAACAACTCATTCATTTACAAAGTTGTAAGTAGAATCTTATGCTATTTCTCTGTTTTCTTTGTTATTACTCAAATACACTTATTACCAGAGAATTTAAAAATCAGACAAGGGCTTTTCTTTCTTCCCAGTATTGGCATTGAATCTGCTTTCTGCTGCTGGTAAACACTCTCACACTCGCTATATACTTTTAAAATACACTTTTATTTTGAGATAGGTTTCACTATGTTCTCAAGGATGACCTTGAACCAATAATTAATTCTGCCTCAGCTGCCTAATATTTGGGGTTGCAGGTGTGTATAACACCCAGCTACACTGGTCTGCTTACACAGATATTTGGTTTCTTGCTCAATTTTTTTTAAAACAGATGCAAATAACATTCAGATGTAGTAAAAAGGTCTTATAATGGAAAAGAAAGTAAAGTGCTTATTGAAATTTCAGTGCTTAGGAAAAGGAAGCCAGATGGGTGTGGTGGTCAATCGTCCCAGTTCTGGGGACTGAGGACAGCCTGGACTCAAACAGAAGCAAAACAATAACAACAAGGGGACCATTTTCTTATAGAAAAAAACTATTAGGCTAGATGCAACTTTATTTTCTCAGTTTTATAGGTTTTTCTGTTCATATCACTTATTCGCAGGCAACCAAGAAAGCGAATCAAATCAGAAAGAGGTGGGGTTACACATTACAAGTTGTATGGAAGAGCAACCTGCAGTCCAGGAACATGGGAGGCTAAGGGAGGATGATCCAAAAAAGTTCAAGTCCACTTTGGCCTACATACAAGACAATGTCACAAAACAAAACAAAAACCACACACACCACTAAAAAATTCTTCATTCAATGTCCCCAACAACAATGACCATAGACATAGTCTAAGAGGAGACACACTCATTTGTTTGAGATAATTTTTTTAAATTATTACATGAGCCAGGCTGGCCCTTCAATTCATGACTCCTCCTGCCTCAGCCTCCCAAGTACCAGAATCATAAGTATCAATCACCATTTTAAAGAAATTTTGAAATAGAACCCTAGTTACTAGAGGGGAAAAAAGAACCATATTTCATCATACCACCATATACAAATATATTATACCACAAAGGAACTTGAATGTCTCTAGCTTTTTAGTTTAGAGAATTTAGCACAGGGTTAAAAACGTAACTCACCTGAATTTAGGATTTTCAACTGTAACTACTCCAACTTCAATTTCTGAAGGTTTAAAATCAATCGACAGAACAGTAGACAGGCATGTAATCGCAGTCTGAAAAGAATGCTAACATTAAAAAACAATACTTTCCAGCTATCAAGATCCCCCACCCCAAGCTGATTAAGTAACACCACAAGACACTCTCTTCTGTGTTTCAGTGACTGTCCTACAGGTGTGTTACTAACAAATTGCTGACATAAACCTGCTTCTATTAAACAGCCCCAAATTAAAGGAGCTTATCAAACAAAACGCATTTTTAGTCCAGTGTGGTGGTGCACACCATGAGTGAATCTCAGCACTTGGGAGGCAGAGGTAGGCGGGTCTCCGTTGAGTTTGAAGCCAGCCTGGTCTACAGTGTTCCAAGACAGCCAAAGCTACACAGAGAAACACATCTCAAAAAACAGACAAACAAATAAAAATCCATTTGCTGGATGCCCACTATAAGCAAGACTTTGTTTAGCACCTGGTGTAAAAGAGACCAAAGTAATCATTCAGACTGATTACTAAACCTTTAAAATGTTTTTGGTTTGATATGGTAATTTAAGAATGTTTTAAGCAGTTTTATATCTGATGTGATTATGTAACTATAAATTATACTTTAAGAAACATTCAAATAATTAAAGACATGCATATGCTTTGAGAAAGAATTGCTGGGAAGCCCTGACTAGCCTGGAACTCACTATGTATACCGGCTGGCCTCAAATTTATCATGATCCTCTCACCTCTGCCTCCCCCAAAGTGGGACTACAGGTGTATACCACCACAACCAGCTTTTAAAAGTTAAAATAATAATAGTAATAAAAAAGTGTATTGGGTGTAGAGGTCAGAGGGTAACCTTGAGACAGGGCCTCTCCCTGGCCTGAACTAACCACAAAGGCTAGGCTGACAGCTTGTCTCTACCTCAACAGTCCACAGTCACAAGCAAAAGCAGGTTTTATTTGTTTGCACTGTTAAGTTCTGGGGACTGAGATGAGATCCTTGAGTTTACAAGACAAGCATTTTACTGAGCTATGTTGCAGCCTTCTGTGCACATATCCTTTTACTGGGAAACAATTTGCTCTCCAAGAACTTGGTTTGTAGCTGCCTTTGTATAGGACCATAAAAACAATTATTACAGGACCATCAAGATAGCTCAGTGAGTAAAGATGACTGCTGCTAAGTGTAACAAATTGAGTTCAATCTCTGGAACCCTTGTGGTAGAAAGGAACTGACCCCTGCAAATTCCATGAGTGTTGTGGCACATACAGACATACATGCATGTACACACACACAAATATGTCAACAAAACTAAAACAACACTACCAAATCTTATATTTTTCAGTTTTGTTATCCGGAAAATTTAAGCCCAACTTGAGTCTATTAATCATAGCAACTATGCCAGTCCTTGAGTCTTGTCTTGATTCTTATTTTCCCATTATATTATATGTTTGTTGGATATTGTTTCAAAGCCATTATGAACTAAGATAGGAAATAAATAAAAGCAGCCTTCTCCCCCCCCCCCCCCCCCCGACTGCCAGTTGAATTATATAAATTATACCATTAAGCTAACAAATCTGGATCTTGTGACATCATTAAGAAATAGGCTTTTTTGTTTTGTTTTTTAAGACAGGGTTTCTCTGTAACTGTCTTTGTAGATCAGGCTAGCCTTGAACTCCTGCTTCCTGCCTTTGTCTCCCAAGTGCTGGGATAAAGGCATGTGCCACCACTGCCCAACTAAGAAATAGTGTTTCTAGACTAGCAATAATACAATAATGCTCCCTCTTCCAGAGCAGCAAAAATAAAAATAAATAAAAATTCAACTCCTTTTGGCTAACTTACTTCCACTGTTTGTTCAAATGTCCAATCAAATTTCTTCTTCACTTTTTTTTCAAGGAAGCTGGTTGATTCTGTTTGTTTAACTCCTGCTGCGGTGGCTTTAAAGCCACAGTAGTAACCCGCAGGATCACACTTGTACACTTGAGGGCCTTGTTCTTCGTCTATACCAATTAAAATCATACCTGAAAAGAAAGGCTCCAATTAAATATGTCATACCATCCTGCATAAACATTTCCTTTCTTGGTGTCATACTTAGTTACTGCTACTCATTATTTGGTCATTAACTTTAGGTTATGTGTTTCCTCCAACTGTTAAAATGTAGCTTTATGACCACTGATGCATTAGGTATCAGGTAAGTTGCTATTTTGAAAAAGGATGTATCAGTTTGTTGCTTTTTTAAACAGGCTCAGTATCTTATTGAACATCTTAAGTCAAAAGACCAAAGCCCACGGCATTACCAGTCTCCTCAGATCCCTCTTTCCTTGCTGTAACAACCAGAATTCATTTTTAGAATAATTCATGAATACAGAAAACAGAAGAAATAGATTAGCTAGGTAATAACACAAATATAACATTGACAAAGTGACAGGAGAGAACAGATACTGAGGCAAAACTCAAAGGCTTATTAACCTGATAAGCAGACAGAGTGGGATATGACTATAAAAGAGAAGCTGAGGATGCATGTGAACAGCAGTGACTCACAGTGTCAGAAGTTATCTGTATAGGAAGGGGTTGGGTAAGAAACCAGGAGAGTAACTGGCACAGAAGGGGAAGTAGCAAGTGAAGCCACTCAAGGGTGATATTAACCAGACTGCAAAGAAGGAAGGGAAGGCCCAACAATATAGTCTGAGATGTAACAACATTTAAGGAATCAACAATGAACAAAAGAAACTGAGCCGAAACTGGGTGCCACCATACCTGTGTTGCTAGCACTTCGGAGGCTGAGGCAGGGGAATCACAAATTTGAGATAAACCTGAGCTACTCAGACTCCAAGAGTAGGGGGAGGGACGAATGAAATCAGGAACTGGGGAGACAGCACAGCAGTTAAAGAACACTGGCTGCTCTTCCAGAGGATCAGGGTTTGATTCCCAGCAACCACGTGGCAGCCTACAGCTATCTTAACTCTAGTTCCAGGGATCTGACACCCTTTCCTAGCTTCCACAGGCCATCACATGGTGTGTAGAAATACATGCTGGCAAAACAACATTTATTAAGAAATAAGAAGTTAAAGGAGAAATAATGTTTAAGATGTCAACAGAATCACTGGTTAAAAAGAAACATTACATTTAATTCTCAGGGTTAGGTCTACAGCTCTGCGGTAGAGGACTTGAGAGGACTTGTCTAACAAACACAATCCTGGCTTTGAGTCCCAGAACCACACATACATAAAAAAGGCAGGCTCGGGGACTGGAACATTTCATTTTCATTAATGAATGATGTCAGAAACAAATACAATGTCAGGTGGTAGGGATGTGGTACACACTTTTAATTCCAGCACCCTAGAGGCAGAGGCACGTGGATTTGAATTTGAGGCTACCCTGGGCCACACAAAGAAACCTGCCTCAGAAAACCAAAAAAGTAGATAATTAACAAATAAACAAAATAAAAAAGAGAAACAAATAGCATGTATTGAGATTGTCAGGTGAGTTTATTAAATCTAAAGATCAATAAATCTTACTCTTCCTCAATGAAATTTCATTTAAAAAAAAATAGAAATACAAGCTACCTGTGGTGGTGCATACCTTTAATCCCAGCACTCAGAGGCAGAGGCAGGTGGATACCTGGGAGTTCAAGGCCAGCCTGGTCTACAGAGTGAGTTCTAGGATAGCCAGGGCTGTCTCAAAAATCAAACAAAAAACAACCAAAAAAAATTTTTTTTTAAATTAGAAATAAACTATAAGCCTATATGTTATCCCAAGACCAAAAGTGGCATTGACACCATTAAAATGCCTAATAAAATTTCACAGAATTTATTTATTTTTATTTTATGTGCATTGGTGTTTTGCCTACATGGGTGTCTATGGAGGGTGTTAGATCCTGGAGTTATAGACAGTTGTGAGCTGCCATGTGGGTGCTGGGAACTGAACTCTGGAAGAACAGTCAATGCTCTTAACCACTGAGCCATCTCTCCAGCTTTCACAGAATAATCTGGAATTACAGTAGAACCCCACTGCAGCAGCCTAATAAAATGGGGACTTGGATACTCTACATTACATATTCTAAACAGACATTTTTGACAAAAAAAAAAAAAAAAAAAAAAAGATTGAAAGCTTTTAATTTCAAACTACATGTCTGAAACCCAAGCGTGGTCTCAGTTTCTTTCTATAGGTTTTAAACACAATTGTAACTCAATTCTTTAGAAGACTTTTGAGCATACTTACAGCAACCAAGTGGTCTCATTTCAGCATTCTGTGTGTAGACTTGAGAAATATCAGCAATTCTTTTACATAGCATGTCCACAGGAATCTCATAGCCGTATTTGTATTTCCAATTAGCTGCTTCATAGCGTGCCCTCTGTACCTGGGATCTGCTGTCAGCTTAAAGATTTAGAGCACAAAATGAATATGAAAGCCTATTTCTCGTGTGTGTGAGTGTGTACATACGTATGTACGTACATATGTATGTTTATTTCAAATACAAGTCATAGAAGGACAAAGGGTCTACGGTGGCTTTTTCTTGTGATAATGAACACCGAATGACTTCGTATGGAGTACATGTAAGACATGTAAGTACATGTAAAACATGGAGCTTAATTTATACAATATATTGCTCTTTTACACCAAGCCTTTCACCAGCAGTCAACACAATTTCTACAAGAATTTATTAATAAACTGAGCTGGCAAAATGGCTCAGCAGATAAAGGGACTTGCCACCAAGCCTGATGACTTAGTTTGATTCCTAGGACTCATCCAGTGTAGGAGAGAACCAACTTCCACAAGCTGCCCTCTGTCCTCTACACATGCTCCATGGCATATGTGTAATAATAAAGAAGTCTAATAACTCTCAAAGGATATGCTTCTTAAGGTTTCATGAGAAATACCATTTTTAAAAGATTCATTTTAATTTTATGTGTATGAGTGTTTGCCTGTGTGTATGTGTACTGTGTGTGCCTAGTGCCCTCAGAGGCCAAAAGAGATCATGGATGGGGGTAATGTGGGTGTTGGGAATCAAATCTGGGTCCTCTACAGCAGCAAGGGATATTAATCCTTGAGCCAACTCTCCAGCCTACTAAAATACATACGCAAGGGAAGAGAATAGTATTTCTCCACCTTTATGTTTTAGATTTGAATTTTCCTCTGAATTCAGAAAATTAAAAGCCAAAGTAGGCTTTACACAACTGCTCAGTCATTTCTAACTAATGTCATGACTAGCTTTGAGAAAAATTATTTAGGACTCTTTAAATTACTAAACACATCTGAAATACAGTATCTAGTTTCCTACCAGCAGTGTAATTCCATTACACTTACTACTTCAAACAGTTCACAAACCACTCCTGTAATCCAAGCACTAGGTAGGCTGAGAGAGGATAATCATTGAATGTGAAGCTAGCCTAGGCTATACTGCAAGTCGATGTCTCAAAAACCAACCAATCAGCCATGCACGCTAGCACCGGATTTTAATCCCAGCATTCAGGAGGCAGGAGCAGCTTGGACTACACAAGTGGTTCTTAACCTGTAGGCATCCACCCTCCTGGGAGGGCTGTTGAACTACCTTTTCACAGGAGCCTCTTAAGTCATCAGTAAAGATATTTACATTACAATTCATAACAGTATCATAATTACAGTTATGAAATAGCAGTGAAAATAATTTGATGGTTGGGGGCGTATTAAAGTGTCACAGCATTCAGAAGGTTGGTGAGTTCCAGAGTCTATCTCAAACAAACAAACAACCCCCCCCCCATCAAAAAGCCAATCAGTCAACTCAATAACTATAATCAGTCAATTAAACTAGCTGAATAACCAACTAATACATTCATGATAGTCTTAAAATACCAACACTAGGGTTTGGGGAATCGGCTCAGCAGGTAAAGCTCTGTGCAATCATGAGGACCCAAGTTTGGATCCCTGGTACCCATGTAAAAGCGAGGCCTGCACCTATAACCCTGGGCAGGGAGGCATGTCATGGAAAGAGGAAGATAATCCTGGGGGCTTGCTAGCCACACAATCAGTTGAAACAGAGATCAAGATTTGGGAAGAGACCTAATCTCCAAAATAAGGTGGGAAGTGGTAGGGGAAGACACCTCTGGCCTCCACATGCACAAGTGAGCACATTTGTATAAACACAAATTAATAGTAACCTTGGAAGACAGTGAATCTACTAATAACACTAAGGGGTCTTTAAAACACAAAAGACAGGGCTGACAAGATGGTTCAGAAGGTAAGGGTTTTTTGCTAAGTCTGATAACCTGAGTTCCATTCTCAGAACCCACATGGTAGAGAAAGAAGGCCAACTTTCACAGGTTGCCCTCTGACCTCACACAGGCCATGCATGACACAGTGCACCCCTTCACAAACACATTCAATAAACAAATGCAAAACCAAACAAATACAAAGATAATTATGATGAAATAACATCAGGCAGTTGCCAGTTACCTGTCATCCCAGTCATCACACAGCCAATGTTTTCAGTTATTTTGAACAAGTGAGTCACGGTGCTGGAATCCAGTAATTTGTCCTAATGAATAAAATAAATCACAACCACTTCATTTTAAGGCCACAGGCCTCTGTGCAGTTATAAAAAAAAACAAATTTTTTATATTTGGTTTGGAATTTAACAATAAACTATAAAGTAGAAGTTATGAGACATATAGTGTTCATTTTACAGTTAAAACCAATCTTTAAAAATGTGGTAGAGGAAGATGTTTTTTGCTAGATGTTTTCTGTGGGTTAAAGGTCCCAGAAAAGAAAGGACTTAGAAATCTCACTGTATTTATTATAATTACACCAAAGTTTAAATGTGGTACTTCTACCTACTCAGCCAAACCATGAACAGTGCTAGTGTGAATAGGTAATAATGTAATTCTGTTCTAAATCACAAAAACCTTCTTACATTTTAGTTTGTCTGCTAAATTACAATTTAGCAGTTAACTGCCTGGGCTAATTACTTACAGGTACTTTCTTCTGTGTGACAATTACCGCACAGTCTTTTCCTCTGACAGCTACAGACGTGAGTCCACCCTGGTTAATAGCCTTAAAGGCATATTCTGGAAAAACAAAACAAGTTTGATATTCATTCATTCATGTTTTTTGAGACAGTTTCTCTGTGTAACATCAGCTCTGGCTAAGGTGGGATAAATATTTCACAGATTCTTAGTTAACAAATCATCATTAAAATAATAAGGGTAAGCTATATGAACATGGACTGCCAACCATGGAAAATAAAGTCAAAATAATAAAAATGCCGGGAGGGAGGGAGGGAGAGGGAACTGGGATCGACATGTAAAATAATAAATTAAATTTTAAAAAAATGCTTTGACTCCAAAATTTAAGTTCAAGGAAGGACAAGTTACTGGGGAAAAGGATTTCTATTTTTGTTTCCACAGAATGAAAAGATGTGGATTCCTTCCAGACTAATGTGGTTTGATCAAGCCAGACCACCTGAAACATAGTACCAGGTGATCCTACATTCAAAACAGCTGGACAAAGCAGCCTTGCAGACTACAGCCAGGATTTCTGAATCTTCTTCGAATCCCCCATGACAGTGCCCCTTACCAGCAGGAAGTAGTTTGGAAAGCATGATGCCCAAATTCCCAAATATTGTCTATAAATGTTTGTTTTCATTTGAATGGACTTGGTTATATAAAATAAATAAAAAAAAAATAAAAATGCCAATAAATCAGTCAAACCAGCTCCATTTCTTCTAGTTTTATTTTATTAAATTTTCATTAGGTTTAAGCACCAAATTTGATACAATATTACTCTATTTTTTTTTTTATCACATCTCATCACTTTAAAAGTTATTTTATGGGCATTATTCAACCGCGCCTGGTTTTCCTAGCTCAAAGTTAGCTGCTCTAAAGATTTAATACTTCTCTTAATTTTGGGTCAATAACTAACCACATGTAGTTTTAATTGCTATTATATTTCATATTGATATTTTGTCTATAGTTGAAGTTTGATCCTAGCATGATTGGGGCCAGCCAGGTCTATATAATGAGGTCCTGCCTCAAAAATGGAAAGAAAATGTAATTTTTAAACAACCAACATAGAGTTCTTTGTGTTATTACAAACTTCAGATTGTACACTTCCAGCCACTGTCAATGCATTCTATTTTTAAAAACAGGCATCAAGATGGAAACCAAATATAAACTATGTTGGTATCCCATAGTTTACTTGATAATGATGGTTTCTGAGGAGATAAGATTAGAAATAAGACTATCATTTTCAATGGTTGGTGGTGGCACATTTCTTTAATCCCAGCACTTGGGAGAGAGGCAGGTGGATCTCTGTGAGTTTGAGGCCAGCCTGGTCTATAGAGCAAGTGCCAGAACAGGCTCCAAAGCTACACAGAGAAACCCTGTCTCAAACAAAACAAAACAAAAACAAAAAAGACTATCATTTTCTGTGTTAGTACAGAAGATACAGAAGGTTTTTTTTTTTTTTTTTTGATGGCCCTGGCCATCCTAGAATTTGCTCTATAGATAAGTTGGCCTTGAACTCACAGAGATCCACCTGCTTCTGCCTCCCAAGTGCTGTGATTAAGACCTGTGTCACCATCACCAGGCTCAAAAGATAATTTTAAAAAAATTGTTCTTAATTTTAATTATGACTTAAATTTTGCTACACAGTAGACAATCTCAAAATCCTGTCTTAAGTGTTACTCTGGACACTGGCTCCGGGACCAGAACCTCCATGAGTGACCAGGATAAGAAATATAAGATATTCCATGTTCCTTCATGGCTTCTGCTTCAGCTCCTGCCTCCAGGTTCCATGCCTGAGACCCTGTCCTGAGTTTCCTCAGTGACAAGACTGTGACTGAAGTGTAAGCCAAATGGACTTGTTCTGTCACAGCAGCAGAAACCTAAGAGGGTACCTACTGCCTTGAGTTCAGTATCCAGAACTGATGTGATAAGGCAGAAGGAAAGAACCAACCCCACAAAGCTGTCCTCTCAACACCTCTCAGTGTACTGTGGCACATGCAAACACACACACACACAAAGTAATAAAATATTTTTAAAAGGAAAGTATAGAAACAAAAAACACAGTATCTGAAATACAAAAAATTGCCAAAAGCAGGCTGTGGTAGCCTACGCCTACAATTCTGGTATTGAGGTTGAGGAAGAAGGCCCATTGAGTCCAAGAACATCTTAGTAAATAACAAGACTGTGTTTCATTCAGAAATATCTATTAAGTGGACTTTAGTGTAGATTGGAGGTGCCAGAGATGGCTCAGCAGTAATAATGTTTACTGCTCTTCCAGAGGACCCAAGATCAATTCCCAGCATCCCTATCAGGTTGCTCTCAGCTTCCTTTAACTCCAGCCCCAGAAGATATGATGCCCTCTTCTGTACTCCATGGGCACCAACCTACACATACACATAATTAAAAAAAAAAAAATATTAAAAAAAAAAAAAAAAAAAAAACAGTAAGACCCAAGTGAGTCAAATTATTCGATCATATGTGTGATGCCCAGAGGACAACCTTAGGTATCATTTATTCCTCAGGGCCATCCACCTTGTTTTTTTGAGATCGAGAGGGTCTTTCACTGGTCTAGAGCTTGCAAGGTATGCTAGGCTGGCTAGCCAGCAAGTCTCAGAGATCTGTCTTTCTCTACAGCCCCAGAGCTGGAGTTACAAAGATTACAAACACAACACACCTGCCCTGCTTGGCTTATTCATACAGGTCTTTATTTTATTTTGGAGGCAGAGTCTATGCAGCCCTGGCTAGTCTTGAAATCATGGAGCTTTATCTGACATATAAACAACACCTGACCCTACTACCTTTTTTTTTTTTTTTTTTTTTTTTTTTGAGGCCCAGCCCTTGACACTCATTTTTTTTACACATTAAAATAGTCCTTGGCCGTGTTTGGTGGTGCATGCCTATAATCTCAGCCCTGGAAAGGGTAAGGCGAGAGGACTGCCTCAAGTTCAAAGTCAGGCTCAGATATACAGCAAAAGAGCAAAACAGTGCCTCAAATCAAAATACTGATGACCTGAGTTTGATCCCCAGATTCTGTAAGGTAAGAGGGAAGCAACTCCTGCAAGTTGTTCTGTGATCCCCATACAACCCCACTCCAAACTGAAAAACCAACCAAATCTGGGTTAGGAAGATTGCTCAGCAGGAAGAAGTGTTTGCTGTTTAAGCATGAGAACCTGAATTCAAATATCCAGCACTCACATAGGAAACCAGGCATGGTCACATGCCTGTAACCCTGTAACCCGAGTATGTATGTATGTATGTATGTATGTATGTATGTATGTATGTATGTATGTGCATGTGGGGGATGACAGGATGACCACTGGAGACTGCTGGTAGCCAGCCTATGTCTAGGTTCAGTGAGAGTCCTTGTCTCAAAGGAGTAGAGATGTCTGATGTCTTCTGAATTTGGAGTGTGCATCTAGCATAGGCACTTTACCATGTACACACACACACACACACACACACACACACACACAAAACAAATTGTCAAACACAGTATTTTTGTATTCAATATACAAACAAACTATTAAGATGCAAATTGCTGGGAAGAAAAGATGCTTCGGTGGTTATAAGCAGTTGCTGCCTTTGTAGAGGACCTGGACTTGGTTCCCAGAACCTATAAGACAGCTAATAACTCCAGTCCCAAGGGACTTTGGCCTTCATCTGGCATCTGCAAACATGCAGAAGCATATGGTACACATGCATACATGCAATGCAAACACTAATATACACAAATTATACACACACGCACAAACACATATATGAGACAGGGTTTCTCTGTGTAGTCCTGGCTGTCCTGGAACTTGCTATATTGACCAAGGTGGCCTTGAACTCAGAGATCTACCTGATTTTGCCTTCCAAGTGCTGAGATTAAAGGTGTGGACCACCACTGCCAGACAAACAAATCTTAAAAATGAAAGTCATAAATTCCTTCCTTACTCAACAAATAACAGGTACTATGTCTACTACATCAAAAGTCCAGGACCAAGCAAACAATATCAGGTAATGAATGAATAACTCAGTGTAAGCAGCTCACACCTAATACTGCTTTTAAAACAGTGATCCTTAAGAATGGGGTCACTAACAATCTTGGTACTGGCAGAGTAGAAGAATATGAGATTTTGAAAATATAAGTGTTGAACATATAACTTTGTTGTTGCTGTTTTGTTTTTTGAGACAGGGCTTCTCTGTGTAACTTTTGAGCCCGTCCTGGAACTCAATCTGTAGAGCAGGGTGGCCTGGAACTCAGGAAGATCGGCCTGCCTCTGCCTCCCAAGTGCTGGGGCCCAAGCCTATAACTTTTTGGTGTAAACGTGTGTACACACAGACATTTAACACTCTCCTCTCTTCCTGTTATCCCCACCCCTTCTTTTTCTCAGGTGCAATAACCACTAAGTTACATTCCAAACTTTAAAATATAATTTTAAAGCAAGGTGCTCTGTAATTCTTATCACAAGCCTGTATGAATGCCTTCTGTATACATACATTAAGAGAAAACATTTCAGGGCCAGAGAGATGGCTCAGTGAGTAAAGGCACCCACAATCACGAAAGACAACCTGAGACTGTCCTGAGACCTATGTAGTGGAGAACCAACTCCCACAAGTTGCCCTTTGGTGCTCATACGCATATGTACACGTGTGCACATGATCACACAAACACATACAAAACTTTAAACCTACATGTTTTATAATTCCAAACACACGCTTGCACACAAACACAATTTGCACACTTATTAAGAACAAATTTCCAGTGGCTAGAGGGTTATTAAGAGTGCATTGCTCTTGCACAGGACGTTAAGTTCCTAGTAACCATGTTAGGCAGACAGAGACAGAGACACACACAGTATTTGAAAACTAAAATAAATATTTAGGGGAAAAATATCCCAGGGCCAGGCAGCTTGTTCAGTGGGTAGAAAGAGGAACCTGCTAGTAAGTGGGATACCCTGACTTGATTCCCAGAACCTACATACACGGTAGGAGGGAACTGACTCCTGGGTTGTCCTCTGACATATGCACATACAAAATACATAGAATGTATTTTTAAAATTATTTTAAGGTCTAAAGACAAAAAACTGCAATAGTTACCAAAGTGTTATTTTTAAAAGTACTCTACCTACTGCTACTGTAAAAAATTACAGATCACATTTATAATTATGCTCAGTACTGCAATTTAAATTTATGCCTTGATTACTGCTATACTATTTATTTCGGTGTTGGAGATTAAATGCAGACACTTGGGCACACTATGAAAACACTAACCTCAACCCCTCATGGTATTTTTGAGTTTTAAACTATGGCAAATGAGGAACATTCTATCAACCTTTACTTCCCTAATCATCACTCCATTTTGCTATATTATTCTTCAGCTGTCTAGGTTAACAATTTGCATTTTTATAGTTCTCAGATGTTATGTCTTTGAGAGAGTGTAAAGTTTAGCCTAACACACAACAACATTAACAATATTGAGAATCGACACATATTTCATCAGGAAATTAAGCAAGTTTGGACCCAAAGAAAAGGATCCCTTATCTACAGAGGTTCTAATTTAACTTTTTTTTTTTTTTTTTTTTTTTTTTTAAACAGGTTTTCTCTTTGTAGTTCTGGCTGTCCTAGAGCTCAGTATGTAGACCAGGCTGGCCTTGAACTCATTGAGATCCTCCTGCTTCTATCTCAAAGTGCTGGGATTAAAGGCATGAGCCACCACTCCTGGTCCCCAGATTTTTTTTTTTAATTTATTTAAAGCCAAAGAATCAAATAGGCATCCTGTTTTACCAAATGCTAAATATTTAATGGGCAACATTTAGCTAAGCAATGTACATGTGTTGCCTAATTTCATCCTCACAACAACCACGAGAGGAGAAATTAGCCCAATTTTGCAAACAGAAGTTGAGCAAAGATTATATACTTGCCTGGGCCAATTAGTATAGAGCACAGCCAGTACCTTAACCCAGGTATGGTTCCAAGGCCTAAACTCTGCACTATATTGCTTGCTCATACTATTCTTTCACTTTTCCTTTCTTAACAATGCCTAACTGTGTTAGATAACAATGGGAATGTTATCTATCCAGTGAGGGACTGGTTAAAATCACTGTCTAAATATTAAGTTTGCTTTCAACTACATCTTCTCTTCCAAGCCTACCAATATGACACTATATTCAGCCCTTCTTTTTTATTTTCTTATTTCTACTTATTTATTTTTATGTTCAGCCTTTCTATCCACCAAATTTAAGAAACACTGAAAACTGTTTTATGGCTAGTTTCTACAATGCAATTTACAGAAACAAGACACAAGTCTAAGTGTGGCCTTGTCCGTTTACAAACTTAAAAATCCAAAATCAAAACTTCAAACAATAAACAATAATTAAATACAGAAAAAACTATTTCAAACTCAAAAATAAAACACATACATACACAACCTTGACTAGGACCATCACCTCTTTTATCACAACTTTCAAATGAGGTGAATTAAACAGGTTACCAAATTAATTAAATGATGATGGTCCTTGCTACATCATATACAATATGTATATGTAACAGGCCAACTTCTTTAACCTTACTTCTGAAATTTAGGAATAGAACTCCATTTACAGGCTAATTCTAGGATTTTCAACCAGGATGGTATACTCTCCTTGCCAAGACAATGAGATAAAAGACTTATTCCAAAATAAAATTACCATGATCCAAATGTGTATCGGTTCTGGTGACACCAAATTTTCCTTTTTTAAAAGATTTATTTATTTATTATGTATACAGTGTTCTGCCTGTATGCCAGAAGAAGGCACCATATCTCATTACAGAAGGTTGTGAGCCACCATATGGTTGCTGGGAACTAAACACTGGATGAGCAGCTAGGGCTCTTAACCTCTGAGCCATCTCTCCAGCCCAACACTAAATTTTCTATGACAAGAGTTTAAAAAAGTCTGTCCTATAATCCTAACCTAAACCCTGCCACGATTTCAATGTACCTACTGTTATATGGAGTAACTGATAGCGAGTTCAGGGTTCTGTCCATTAAAACTGTTCTTTGGTAAAGACTAACACACTGAGCTTCAACTAGATTGAGAATTAGCTTTTAAACTATAGGAGCAGTCACAGAGCCTGGGTATAAAATCTGAATGCTAGCTTCAGGAGCGGTTTATTATGATCCCTATATCTCGAAGTTTTGAAACTGCAAATACTTTGCACTCTTTTTATTCGTTTAGTTCCATATCTGTCACTTTCTTTAAGTGGCGGGCTTCCATCAGGGGAGAGTGACATTTATCTCTTTTCTAGAACCAGTGGTGTCTGTCCGGTAGGGCTTTGCATGCTTGGATTGACCACAAAGCAAGGAATCTATCCATACAGCCGGGGGCAGGGTGAGGGGGATACATTTAGTTTGCTGGTTAAGGAACCAATCACTGTCAGCGAAGACTCTGGCTCGAGGTAGAACGGAGCTAGGGCAGCGGTTCTCAACGTGGGAGTCGAGATTCCTTTGGGGGGGGCAGCGAACGACCCTCTCACTGGGGTCGCCGGAGGCCATCGAAAACACAGATATTTACATTACGTTTCGTTACAGTAGCTAAGTTGCCGTTCTGAAGTAGCAAGGCAAATAGTTTTATGGCTGGGGAAGGGGGGTCACCACAGCGTGAGGAACTGTATTAAAGGGTCGGGGCATTGGGAAGGTTGCGAACCGCTGTGCTTCGGGAACTCCGGAAGCAGGAGGCAGGCATTACAGTGCAATGCCTTAACTCTTTGTGTCTGGACGCCGAGGCGCTCCTGAAGACAGCCGGGCTTTGGTTTCAGCCCAAAAGTCCGCTCGCAGACGGGGATGGGAACACGAGGTTGAACCCGACCTCGACCCTGCTCCTTTCCTGGCCCCGGCCCTGCTTCAAGCCCCAGACTATGCTCGGGCCGCGTCTGCTCGCTCCAGGCCGAAGCATGACAGAGCAATTCGGGTGTCCCACCGGCGGCCCTGGCTCACTCACCTACTTGGTAGAGTCGGCCCTCGGGAGAGAAGATAGTAATGTGGCGGTCAAAACCGGCGCTGGAACCACGGGACATGGCGTTCCCACTATTTCAAACACACACTGCACCCCGTAGCACCCACACCAGCCACACAAGACCCTCCCGGAAGTTATTGCTACTGCTTCCGGAGCACCGGTCGAGCTGCTTCCGCTCGGCTGGGCCTCTCGGAGCCGCCTGTAAGTGGGCGGGGCCTCGAGGGCCGAGGCTGCGCTCCCGCGAGCTCGCGGCCGCGGCCGTTAGGGCTTTCTGGAGAGTAAATTGGCCGAAAGGGGAGGCTTTCGAGGGGTCCGCAGTAGGGATTCGCCCACCTGTGACCTCTGGAGACCGCGTGATCAACGCACCTTCGTTAGTATGGGCGCCTGTACTCGCTGTCCTGTCTTACAGACTTTGTTTTTCCTAACCTTCATTTTACTCGCCAACTTCTCTTCCTGCGATTTGGGGAGAAAGGAATGCAGCTGCGGCAACCCTTAAATGTAGGATCTGAAAGAGGGCTGGTTGAAGAAGCCGCTGGGAAAAACAAGTTTTCTTTTTCTAGTCTGGCAAGACCTTCCATGGGATAGCGGCCCAGTTTTTTTTTTTTTTTTTTGTTATTTTGTTTTGTCTTAAAAGTGGAATTGGGGTTGAAATGCAAGTTATGGGAAGTTGAGGTTAAGCAGACTTAAGTGACAATGAGCAACATCCTAAGGGCAGGAGCTTCATAGAAGGCTGGTGTTGGATGGTGTTGGATGGATACCGGAAAGAAATTCCAAGTAGGTGAAAGTAATTCCAAGCTGGCCTGGAAAACTAATGGCTTTTCAAACTGTAAAATTCTGCGCACACAAGGAACTACTCCTGCTTAGTGAATATATAATTTGGAGCACAATCAATATTAAGCTATTTCCCCCTAGATTAAAAAAAGGTTTGTTCACACCAATATTTGTGACAATTTACTGCTGTGATACTGAAATATTCAGCTCTCTGGCATACTCTCTAAAACCGCTTTATTTTAAAGTAAAACATTTAAAGAAAAGATTCTTCATAAGGAAGTTTAATTTCTCAAGTTAATTGTTTTCTTCTTTTAGAAATTATTACAAAAAAAGTAAAAGTGAGATGTGATGGGGCGCACCTTTAAATCTCATCACTTGGAAATAGGGCAGGTGGGCCTCTGGATTCAAAGGCCAGCCTGGTCTACAGAGTGACTTCCAAAAGGGCCAGGACTACACAGAGGAGGGAGAGAGGGAGAGAGAATATCCAAAACTGAAACATGGTTAAGAAAGTAGTCCTTGTAAACAGCTCTCTGGAACACTCGGTACTTTCCAACTCCAATTCCCAAGTGTACTGATAAGAGCTGTTGTCCTTTGTTTCCAGTTCAGGTTCCTACATCAGAATTAACTCCTGGCCTTTTGAGTGCTTTTCCCAGACTCTCAGCCAGGGGTATTATAACTCCTGCAGTTTGCCTTAACAGCCATGGATAAAAGGAGTTCTCTGTAAGACTGCTAGGGGATGATGCACTCCCTTAGTCCCTTAGTATACAGATGTGTCTCCAATTTAGATCTCGCATTGGAGCTGAATTTTCCCTAGTTGCCTCTGTCATGGTAAACAGACAGCATTTTGAAAACCCAAAGTAGGTAAAGACAGATTCTTCATCTCTTTCCTTTCAAGCCAACGCCTGCCTTTTGTATTCAGAGTCCATACCATGCAGCAGTCAATTTCTCAGCATTTCCTCCTCCTGTTCCCGATGTCGGTTGGCTACATATAGTTTTTTGAATTCACTTTATAGTGGCACTGGGTTTTATTAGGATGTGCTCAGAGTTCATGATGTATAAAACCCAGAAGTTTTACCAGATCTTGAGCAATGGCTCACCAAGACATGGAGAGCCTGGTGGATGTTGCAAACCACCCATCATCCCTCATCTTCACATGACCAACAGCCACATAGTACCTTCTTCATCTTGATGTGGGTTTCATCAATGTGGCCCCATATTTTCATTGTATGCCAGCAGGGAAAGGAACGTGCCAGCCTTAGACCTGGCCCCAGAATTTTGGGATCTGCTTGATGAGATACTTGGAGGGCCAAAAGCCATCATACTTTTTGACCAATTTCTTGTCCTAGTTCTTACTTTTGCTAAGTGCCTCACTGTCCATGTGGCAGGTAGCCACAGCCTTGGCCTCATCACAATGCTGCCAGTTCCCCAGGATGCACACAGAGAAGTTGGGACAGGGAGTGGACTTAGGCGGATGGTGCCTGAGAAGCACTTGCCCTCCTGACATTCTTTAAGCTCCAATGCAGCTCCTCTGTTTCCAGAAACTCATGGCACTCATCCTCGTTCCTGGTGGGACTTCCCACACTGCCTGGTTCAGGCAGTCTCCAGAGTCTGTTGTTCATTGTTGCTCATACTGGGAAAGCTAGAAAAACAAAACAAAAAACTTTATTCACTTCTTATTGTCCTTTCATCATTACTCTTAAGTGCCAAGAAGACAAAAATCCATAGTGTTGTTACTGATACAGATTTACTTTGACAATGCCTAGTATAAAGTGCTCAATAAATACTTGGTGAATGAATGGATCAATCCTTATATTTTTGGTTGTGAGCCTAGCCTTAAAGGCTGAGTGATCTTCTCCAGTCCAAATGGATTAATCCCTTTAGAACACATAAATTTAGAATGTATATCGTGGGGCAGGAGAGGTAGCTCAGTGGTTAAGAGCACTTGCTCTGCCAGAGAACTAGCACACATAGGACGGCTTACAACCACCTGTAACTCCAGCTAATGGTATCGGGCCTCCAAGGCTACACACAGCATATTCACATAAATACAAACTTTTTGTTTTTGTTTTTCAAGACAAGATTTCTCTTTTGTCTAGCCCTGGTTGTACTGGAACTTGTTCTGTAGAGTATGCTGGTCTTAAACTCAGACCCCTGCCTCTGCCTCCCGAGTAAGTGTTGGGTTTAAAGGCATGAATCACCACAGCCCAACTCACTTTAAAAAAAAAAAAAAAAAAAAGTAGATTCTTTTCTATTTAAACTTGAATTTAAATTCCATTTGCAATAGTTCTCAGATATGTGATTTTCTTGCCAATGTGCATAAGATCCACTTTATGGAGGTAAAGATGAAATGAGAAGTACTAAGCAAAGTCCTTAGCATAATAAGTACTCAGCAAATGAGGACTGTTAGCAATATTGTTTCCCATGTATGTTACTGAATGGTGCTGATTATGCCTGTGAAATGACTCTCCTCCAGCTTTTTATTTTTCTCCCACTGTTCAGATTTAGAGTCCTTTTGGGCTACCTTGGTACAATAGTTTCTTGTTGATAACATCAATCTGTGTCTTTTTTTTTTCTTTCTTTCTTTCTTTTAAGAGCATTCTCAAGTTGCTTCTCTGCCTAGATCCCTCTGGGTTCTTACTATCTGCTGAATGAAGCCTAACATCTAGGTTAGGGATCAGGGTTAATAAATTGACCTTCTCGTCTGCTTCTTCATCTGTCTACTGCCTGGTTACTCCTTGAGGCCCATCCGCTCTCTTTGAAGGCCAACTCTACCAGTCCCTTTCAACCTTTCATGCCCACTGTATAGAATTTATTGGCTTGAATCCTCAAGAAAACTTATTTCAAAAAGCACAAAATAGAGTGTGCTTAAGTGGGATATTCACTTTGTCTCCTGTGGCACTGACCATGCCCATCGGGGGGTGGAGCCAGGGGCGGAAGTGACCTGTGGAAGGAGACATAGTGAATATCCCACTACATTTAACCATATTTAGCTCACAATAAAGACAATGGTGATAAGATAATTCATGCTTTGGATGTTTAATTGACTGCAAATAACATTGTACAAAGGAAAGCAGTAGAATTTTGTCTTATAAGAATTAGAACCAAAAGGAGAAGGAGGAGGAGAAGAAGAACCAAACAGCTCCAAAATCATCTGGCATCTGAGTGGTGATGTGTGATTAGAAATGTATAAGATACTTTAGTCCCAAAACTTGGAAGCCAGAGGCAGGAGGATCTCTGTGAGTTCGAGGCCAGCCTGGTCTACAAGAACTATTTCCAGGACAGCCTCCAAAGCTACAGAAAAACCCTGTCTTGAAAAATAGAAAAAGGAGGAAAAAAAAAAAAAAAGTAAAGTATAAGGATTCTTCGTTTAGGATTACAATTGTGTTGCTTGTGCTAAGTTAACTGTACTAAGCAGTCATCTACACAGGTTTTGTGTGCAGGGCAATTGTTGAAATGTTGGCTCTTTGACCATCCTCAGAGCTGCTTGATATGGCCGCCCTAATTTCTCAATGTCAGCCATTGCCTAGTTAAACAAGGGATCTAGCTAGCATATGGACACCTTTGTTATCTACTCACTGCCTCCAGAAAAGCCTGTTTATTTAGTTTTGGTGGTGTTGAAGGTTGAACCGAGGGGTTCACATATGCTAGGTAAGTGCTTTACTACTGAACTACATACGCCTCCAGTCCAAGCAGGCCATCTGTGAGTGAAATATTGGCAGCTATAAGGTTTAATTCAAAGAGCCGTGTGTCTAGGCTTCACCAGTTTGGCAGAGCAATGCCTGGGTATCTTTGTACTGTCTACTACTCCTGGAACAGGACTAGGCTCACAATAGTTCAAGAAATGATTGTTACACTAAATTGAAAACCATAGAGAAAGGTAACAACAGAGACATGTTTTCATATCCATAGGACTTTGGTTCTCATGTAGACATGACTAGATTTTCATCACCTTGTAATGGTGGGATGTTTCAAATGACACACTCTACCAGCCATGAGATTTCACAAACTCAAACAAATCTTGACCTCCTGTGGTGTGGCTGCATTTAACTAGGTCAAGAAAGAGGCACACATGATTCAGGCTGGTATATTTTAACATTTTCAGTGTACTTTATTAAAGGAATCAACTTAATTTTCAGTACAGACACTGACAGCTAGAATTAGAACCCAGTTTAGATGAGGCAGGAGCTACAGCTGCTTTACTCAGCAACTTAGTCGTAAAGCAAAGTCTTCAAGATGGCCTAGCATGAAGTAAGCATTCATAGAGTGTACATTTTTACTTAGGATAATTGTGCTTATTTTTCCTATTTGAAGAGACTTGTGACTAAATGAGAAATCCACATTTGAGACTTTTCCACATAGTCAAATGTATTCCTCTGGGAAACCTTTCA